AGTTCTCCTGTTGCCGCATCATTCAGTGGTTTGTGTATAGTTGATTAAATAAACTTGATAGCTCCATTTGGAAAGCAAACATTCTACGAGACGCGGTCCTTTCAGTCACCTCTCTTGGTATACCGTGCGAGTACGTGGCGGCACTGCTGCTCGAGGGTTATGGCTTGGATGTCAAAGAGGAGGGAGGACGAAGTGAGCAACCAGTGCCGCGTGAGCTGGGCGCTGACGCGCAAATCACTTAGAAGCTGCATCTCGGTTTGCACAACGTTGATGGCGTCTTCCAGCGCGGCCTCGAGCGCAGTGATATGGAGAGGTAGCGTCTGGAGCTGCGTGCGCGTCGTTTCAATTTTCGAGTTCAGATTCTCGCGGACTAAAGCATTGCGCCATCGGGCCAGGAGGTGCGACGCACCGACACTGGCGCTGAGAAGCACTCCACACGTCGCTGTGGCGGGGGCCGCCTCGACATGCGAGATGACCGCCGTTGCGCCCAAAGCCACCACGGCATTTTTTGCAGTGAACCGACGCAGCGTCATCGCGAGGCGTTGGTGGCCATGTTCCTGGTCGGCTAGCAATCTGGCGCCAGCATAGCAGAGGTGTTTCTCCAGCGGACGCACCAGCTGGAGCGTCGCCAACAAGTGCACCAACACCGCGTCGAGACGGGTCAACGAGGTCGCTTCGTCGAGCGCACTGAGAAGCAGGCTCGATGATTTGGCTTGCTTGGTGTCGTCGCTAGCGTGTACGGCGTGCTGGAGTAGAGGACCCAGTAGGCGGCACGACTCGAGACTGTCGAGCGTGGCTTTTTCGTAGAGGTGCTTGGCGTGATATACATGGGACCGCATCGTCTCCATCTTCTCGGTCTTGGTGCTTTGAAATACCATGACCAGGCAAATCGACATCGACGTCCATGCGTCATCAATCGACGACCAGATCGTTTCGGGCGGCATTTCATTTGGAAGGCGGTCACCAACGGGCAGCGTTGGCATGCGAACCGTGTACTCCATTTGTGATAGTGTAGATGGAGTCACTGCGTTGCTGCCTGTCAGAGCTAATTCAGAAAAAATGTATTGACAGAGCAAATCAAGCGCGTTGTTGTTGATGCGAATATAGACCACGAGGACTGTCAGCCGTCAAAATCTCGATTCGGCAACCGTATTCTGTCACAATCCTATTATGGACCCTTTTTTGTCACATAAGTGCATGCGTTTATCGCCAAGATCGACGCAAAAGGTATCTTGTACCCTATATTGTCATTTCCATCCCCTTTCTCGCCATGCCACCTCTCCTTGACCAAGACGCGGAACACGGTCTCGTGCGGCGACGACGACTTGTTACCGTGGCAAAGCGCGGCATGAATTGCATAAGATAAAACTACGTAAATGCAATGTATTTTTTTGTTCATGCAATCTGCTCATTGATGCGTTGATGAAATGTGATCGTTTGCTTCCTCAATCCCCAGTAAAGTGACCTCACCGATGCTTGATCACGCGCGGTGAAGCGGTTGTTCGCGCAGACAAACATACCAATTGTGACGCGTCATTGGGCACGAAGCATGTCCTTGTAGCGGCCAATGCGAGATCGACCGTGTCCAGAGCGGATGCTGCGACTGTACTCAGGTGGATAGGTCCAATACGGACGAGACATCGACAAGTAGAGGCACATGAACTTGTCGATTCTTTCGTGCTACGGAAATGGTGTTTTGAAAGGGCGAGGCGTCCCCCTTCAACACGGACTGGGCGCTTGCATTCTGCGGCGTGGGGTCTAATTTTAAACGTGGCACAATATGGCTGTTTATGGCGTTTGCCACAAACAATACTTTGACCACCCGTATGTCCCGCTGTACGCCGCCAACGAGCACGTCATGTAGCTTTTCGTGCTCCCCAATGTAAGTTCTATCTCTGGGCAAAACATCGTCGACTTTGTTTTTCACTCGATTCTGACGCTCGCGCCGCCTCGGCAAGCAGTCACGCGCAGTCAACTTCTTTCCGATTGGTCCAAAATACAGGAAAACGAACCAATGCGATGACTTGATCTTTCTATTGTATTGTATGGTGTTTATGGTCATGATTACGATATAAAAAACTTCGGTGGCAAGTGGGGATATTCATAATCTATTCAGACGCAACGTTTGGGTTATTAAGGTCACGGCCAGCTCATTTTTAGGGTCCAGAATGGCGTGTATTTAGTCTTTTTTGACCTCCGTTGGCCACTCGTCCGGATACGACAGCAAATGACACACAAAAAATGGCAGCGTCCCAAGTGCTGCGATCGCGCGACCTTCTCGCGGCCATCGTTGCCCACCAAGATGGTCTTCCGAAAGCGCTGGTCGACGTCCAGATACTGGTCAGCTCTATAGAGCTCGTACCTCTCGGCGGGCGCGGCTATCCCATAGTCTATCGGCGCCGTGGCCAAGCTGCGCCGACCACGGGGCACCTCCTTGATATCCCGATGCCGTTTGCGTCGGTGCCGTACATTCAGCGACACATCGACCGCACCAACAGGCTGCCGACGTACGCCATCTTTGTTTTGCCCGAGGCCATGGACCCAGCTTTGGCGCTGCACCTCTCGATTGTCCGCGGCGACATGGCGATCGTCGAGCAATGGCTTCGTCATGCGCTGCGTCTCGTCACGTCATCGACGCTCGAGCTCGCGGCGGCGTCGTCCCAAGGACCCATTTTGCGCTTGCTTTTTGAACGATTTCGAGCGCTTGCGACGCCCAAGATGATGGATCTCGTGGCCATAGCGGGCGACTTGACGCTCTTGCGTTGGCTTCATGCAGCCGGCGCCATCTGCACAGCCGCTGCGATGGACGGTGCGGCGATGAACGGGCACTTGGACGTCGTCATCTTTCTGCATACAGCAAGAACCGAAGGCTGCACGATCGTCGCGGCAACGGCGGCGCTGCGGAACGGCCATGCGGCGATCGCGTCCTTCGTCCTTGGCCATCGCGCAGAAGGTGGTGTCCTCCCGTTGCTCGACTATACGTTTCTCCACCAACAGTACAAGACGCACCATGTGTCTGGCAGCACCCCCCTCGAGGCCATCGATGTCGCGGCCGCGGCAGCCATTGCGCTTGACGACAACGTCTTGATCTCGCTGGTCAAGTCGTTGGGGCTGCCCGCGCTGATGCACTTGCGTGCGGCGGGACACATGACCAATGTATCGCCGTCCCGACTGCTACACGTCGCGATTGTCGCACGCGACCTCCCTTTGCTTCATTATGTCCTCGACCATTATACGTCCACTGAGACGACGGCCCAAGCCTCGAGTAATCCGCGCTCGCTCGACTACTGGCATGCCGTTGACGTGGCCGCCTTCTACGGACATCTCCCGACGCTCGAGGCGCTGCAGGCGACCGCGTTTGGCCTCGGCACGGCGCACAAGGCCATGGCGTATGCAGCGTATCACGGCCACCTGCATGTACTAGCCTGGCTCCACGCTCACCGAACCGATCATGTGCTGGACGACGACGCACTCGCTATGGCCTGTGTGCATGGGCATCTGGACGCTGTGCGCTGGCTGCGCGAAGTGCGGCACCTTTCCGTCACACAAGACGCACTGGCCACGGCCGCGCACATTGGCCACCGCCGCTTGGTCGCTTACCTCTTGGGGGACGATGCAACAAACGCCGAAGACGATGACGTGGCAGCACCAATATGTGGCTACGATACCAACAATATCGTCCTCGATCTTGAGCTGCATTTGTGTCGTAGCACGTACTTTACGTCCAGTCCCGCCACCGCCGCGTCAAGCCAAGGACACGTCGAGATACTCGAGCGGCTGGTCGCAAATGGCCACAGTGTTTACCCCATCATGATGGACACAGCCGTCGCACACGGCCATCTCCCTGTCGTGCGCTACCTCCACAACGAGCACGGCTACGTCTGCACTCTGCGCCACATTTGTATGGCGCTGCAGAATCGGCAGGTGGAGCTCGCTGCATACCTCGTCCAACAGTGTCCAAGGGCAGAGACCGTCGTCGACAACGACGACGTCCAACAGCTGTTTGTGTGTGCTGCTGCCACCGGCCATCTCGCGTCGCTGCAGCAGCTCCGCGCAGTGTTTCCAGCCGCTTGGCGTCCGCGCACGCAGGAGCTCATGCTACTGCACGCTGCGTTACACGGGCATGTCGTCATGCTCTCGCACTTGTGCGAGGTGCATGGCTTAGAATGGACAAAGAATGTCCATCGGGCCGCAACACTCCTCGGTCGAAAGAAGGTCCTCAAGTACTTGCAGACGCGCGGGCCCGCGGCCGAGTCGGTGGTCCGCTTTGCGCGCACCGCTCGTGCGAGAGACTACTACGCAACATTGGTTTAGTTTAAACACCAAGGGCATAAGAACCGTGAGTATTTAACTGTGATTGCTAATTAAACACGTTCATATATACGTAACTATGGACAAAATGACCGTGGTTGGTACTCTCTTAGCCTTTACGATGTCGGAGGTGTGGGGCCTCGCCATCAGCCTCCGTCTTCTCTCGCGTCCCGGGCCGTGGTGACCACTCTGGCTCTCGTCCACTCTCCTGTCGTCGATGCTTTAGCAATTGGATCGATAGATATAGGTGGATAGATTATGGATAGAATATGGATAGATCGGACGCGCCTTGTTTCACAGAACGCACATGTCGAGGCGCTGGGCACATTGCGTCGTCGACGACATTGAGCCTGTAGCTAGCCCTTACCCTAGCTGTCGCCACTTAACGCGGTCCTCATGTCGCCCTCCGCGGTGGCAACCCTAACCTCGCCGACACAACTCGTACTACCTCAAAAGGTCGTATTATTAACTCTACGGATACCGCTTGGCGATCCATGCGAGGAGCCACTTGAGGTGCGTGAGCAGATACTTGAGTGCGCGCGTCCACTGCTCGTCGTTGCCGCCAACCGATATCGCGAGCTCGCCGATCTTGCCCTTGTAAATCTTGTACGGGAAGCGCAGTGACGGTTCTTCGCGCATGGCGCGGACGCCGGCTTCGTCGACGCACTCGAGGAAGAAGACGAGCGCTTGGTTGAACTTTTGTCGCTGGAAAAAGCTGCCGTCCGAGTAGAGCGGGTACTCCTTCCGCTTGTCTTTGGACTGCGCCGTGAGCATCTTGGAGTAGCTGCCTCGCGCGACCGGCGTGTGCCGTGCAAAGGTGAGGTTCGCGCGGCCAGCGACCGTCGCCAGCAGCAAGGTCGCTTGGCCGAGCGCAGCGTTGATTTCGGCCCACTCGACCGGCTTGCTCGGGAGGCGCCCGAGCCGGAGCCCGTTGATCGTACCAAAGGAGCCTTCGTGCCAAATGTGAAACGTGTCGTTGAATACGTTGTAGCGCTGGAGGCACCGGAGCACGTCGGATGCATGCACTGCAAACGTCGACACCGACGACCGCTCTTCCTTGGTGCTTGCATGCAATAGCTGCACAACGGCGCCATGGTCAAACGAGTCGCGTTGCAAGGTCGCGAGCTCGGTCGCGCACGACCAAATGAGCTCGCGGTTCCGCAACACCATGGCGCTCTCCTCGTCCATGTACCGCAGCATGTCGTCAAGTGCGCGCGCTTTGAGCTCGAGCTCGTCGAGCGACAAGATCTCGAGGTCGACGTCGTCGTCGTCATAGTCGTCCAGGTTGGCGTCTTGCCACGTCAGATGGCTCATTTTTGCCAGCCCTTTCCGCCCGGGACGGGCCTTGTGGGGGCGGGCACGGCCCACTGTGTCATCGTCGTCGACCGCATCGGCGAGCGACTCGAGGTACACATCGTACGACGCTTCGTCGGCGGCGAGCCGGGACAGTTCTCTACACTCAGCGTAAACGCCATGGCGTCAAGTTGCGTGCTGTACGAGCGCAAGGTCTTCTGCAGCGCTTCGGCGCACGGATGGCACATGGGCGTCTTGAGCGACGAAAAGTGCAGGCTACGGACACGCAACTTGACCCAACCATTTGGAAAAGGCCAAGTACCTGCGGTCCATGACTTCATTCCACCAGCCTTCTTGTGTGTGACGGATCTTGCGGTGGCGCACGAGCCGCCGGCGCCGTGCGCGCGGCGACGATGCCGAGAACGACGGTGCTGGCGACGTCGCCTCGTCGAGCTGGGCAAAGCTGCTCCCGTAGAGCCAGCCCTCGTCGTCGCACCCGGCCACGAGGACGTCGGGCGACCACTCGTCGAGCCATGCGCTCGTCGATGACGTCTTGTCGGGCAGCGCATCCAGCGGCAGGTTCGAGTCGCCGGCTACATACGGCGGCGTCGTGCCATTAACGCGAGCCCACGTCCCGTTGGCAAAGGCTTGGTTTTCCCATACTTCGTCGCGGACGTAGACGTAGCTGTGGTCTACAGGCGGCACGTCGTCCTCGTCCTCATCGGTTGTCGCGGTCGTCTCGTGGAACATGGGATCTAAAATCGTCTGCAGATGCAAGAGCGAGGCAAGCGAGTCGTCCGAGCTGGAGGGCACAACGTCGTTGATCGGCTGCACGACGAGCGCGGCTTCGCACACGGCGCAGCGCGGGCGCAAGTCGGCGGACGTCGGTTTGAGGATGAGCGCAAGCGACTCGGTCGTTGGCGGCGGCAGCGTCGGCTCGGGCGCGGGGAGCAAGAGCGGCTTGGCACGTGGCACGGACTGGCTCAAGAGCGAGGGGTTGAAGGAGCCCATGCGGTTCTTCGTCTGCTTGCGCCCCGGCGCGGACTGCGTCATGAGGTCGCGCATGTTTGGTGTCGATGTCGACGCGCGCATGCCCGAGCTATGGCCGTGGCTGCGGCTCAGCGACTGCTGGATCGAGGGCGTCGTCGTCATGGACGTGTTCCTCCGCAGCGCCGAGGCCGCCGGCGCGGTGTGGCCCATGGCGAGCTGGCTGCGGGACCCGGTCGTCGGCTTCCTCGGCGTCGTCGGGATCATGCTCCTGCGTCGTCCGCTTCCCGACAGTCGAGGCGAAGTAGGCCGCCGAATATGAATATGCGTTACCACCCATGCGCCCGTCTCTCATTGGCCGAAACGCCAACTTCGAACTTCGAGTTGCTGCACCACACAAACAGCCACACGCTATTTGCACGCCATTTTGATCAACAGCCAGTCCATACGGGGATGACTACTGACCTGCAGCCAACAATTCGTCATAGATGACGAGTCAATAGTCCTCTTATACCGGCGATTTGTACATGGAATGCTGAAAAAGGGTGCGCATCCCACACCAGCACACGTCGCGTCCCCAAGGTTGTGTGATTATAGACTCAGAACGACCCACACAGTTCCCCGCATGGCTCGTCACGCACGAACGACATGGCCTTGCCGACATCGTTATACTGGCTGCGACTAGACCAATCAACGTTGGAATACGTTGGAGACCGTCGGGTCGCTGCTGGTTGCCGCTGCGTGGACGACCGCGTGCGACGGTTTCGGCGATGGGGTTAGGGTCCCGCGATCCCATCTTTGGACGATCTAAACCTCAGCTAGTTTGACCCTTGTGTCTGCACCGTTTACCAAGTGCGGCGTACGCTATTGGACGACTCGGCCACGCTACGCAGTGCGTCGACGGGCCATAGAACTCGAGACGGCGCTGCATCGCCATTGGCACGTTCTGAACCTCCTCTTGGACGTCACGGAGTAGAGGCATCCAAGCACCGCAATCGGGTGCCTCCGCGCACATATTTGCGTCTTTGCACGCCAGCAGCGATGCGCGACGTCGAATTGGTCGCAAACTGATGTGAGATTGACATAAGGTCCCTTGGAGGAGTTGCGTGCCAGAGGACACGGACGACCTTTGAAAATCGACAAAAACGCACAAAATCACAAATTTTCTTCGTCATGGCATCGCAACTCGTGAGGAAACTGCAGAAGAGCGCGCCGACTTTGTCGAGGTAGCGTTGCGTTAGCAAATGGCCTCGTCCATGGCCGCCGGCTACAAAGTGTGGCCAGCAGCGAGCAACACTTGGAGTACGTCGAAATGGCCGTTGCGCGCGGCCCACTTGGCGGCAGGGCCGTTGACATAGTCGCCGCCGCCGCGGTCCAGTGCACCGCCGTTCTTGGGAAGGAACGAACGACACAGCCCGCCGCTGCGAACGTTCTCACGGCCGTCGGTGTATGGCAGCTTCGAGAGGTACGTGACAATGGCCAAGTCGCCCACGTAGGCTGCCGTGGCGAGCGCGGCTTGGGTCATGGGCACTTGATAGACTTCCAGTAGCCAGCGCACAACGTGCAGATGGCCGCGCGCCGCAGCGAGCGCCAAGGCATCTTCCGAGCAGCCATCTCGGCGATGGGCGTGGAGCCACTGGAGCACGTGCAAGTGTCCGTTGTAGCTCGCAAAGGCCATGGCGCGCGCGGACGCACACTGGAGCCGACTCGCGTGCAAGAGCTCCAGTGCTGCCACGTTTCCGTAAAACGCAGCGAGGTCGATCGCTCTGCTGTTCTTCCAGTCGCCAAGTGGTGGCAGCCACTCGTCGTCGCTCTTGGGCTGCGCGTGCTCGGTGCAAATCCCATCCAAGACATAGGCCAGCATCGCGTTGTCGTGGCGAGTGACGGCCCACTCGAGCAAGCTTTTGGCCATCGTGCAGTACCCGCGGCTGTAAAAGTGCTGCAGCTCGGCAAAGCCCAGTGCCTCTTTCGTAACGAGTTGGACGGCCTCGGATGCGAGGAGGGATCGCGCCATGGCCGCATCGACCGCGCCCACGTGCGTCGTACCAATGACCGAGTGCGTATGGTAGTTGATGTACGGGATCGAGTGGCGCAAATATGGATCGATGCCTTCGGTACGGTGCTCGAGGAGGAACCGGACGATGTCGGCGTGGCCATTCCGCACCGCCGCGGTGGCCGCAATCTTCGTGCAGCCTTCGGTTCTCGCTTCGTGCAGAAAGACGACAGCGTCCAGGTGCCCGTTCATGGCCGCTCCGTCCATCGCAGCTTTGGTGCAGGACGCACCCGCCGCGTGCAGCCACCGCAGGAGCGTCGCATCGCCTGCCTTGGCCACGAGGTCCATCACCGTTGGCGTCGCAAGTGCCGGATAGCGATCATAGAGAAAGCGCAGAACGGCGCCTTGGGACGCTACGGCCGCGAGCTCGAGCGTCCTTGACGTGACGAACCCGGGCTTGCATCGGAGCCAGAGCGCGACGGTCGCTACGTTGCCTTCGACGACCAAGAGGTGCAAGGGCAGCGCCGGGTCCACGTTTTGAGAGTTGCGGCTGGTGGCCAAGATGAGGGCACGGGCGAGGAGCATTGTTGCGGGGTCTCGGTACCGCTGGAGGTATGGCAACGACGCAAACCGCAGCGGGATGTTTGTGAGGTACTTGATATCGGTATACCCGGCGAGCCTGACGGCGCTCGTAAGGCGCGGTATATCGGCGACCGCCTCGGGTAACCCGCTCTGGTGCGCGGCAATGATGGCCAAGAGCTCCCGCGATCGGAGGACGTCGCTCGCGGCCATTTTAGTGTTTAAACTCTCCGTCGCGGGAGGGTTACCGTCTTTTTTGGGAAACCTTCGGTCCGCACAGACTCGAATGTAGGTCAACAACCTTTAGAAACGCATACGATCGAGAGCTGATATACCTCTGACACTCGATTGCACGGGGTTGTTGAAGCAGCGCTGCAGTGACGCCACATTGCCGATTCGGTCAATACAAAACTCCTCACGCTACGGTGTACCGCATGGACCTGTTCGAAGCCGTGGCACGAGGCGACACTCGGACGGTGGCCGAGCTTCTGCACGATGGCGCCGACCCCAACAGCCGCGACCACGTACCGTCCGCTCCCAACATGACGTATGGACGTGTTGTATAGCTTGGCGACCCGGCGCTGTACGTCGCAGCGAGAGGAGGACACTTGGACACGGTCGAGGTACTTCTCAACGCGGGAGCGATTGTCGATTCGCAACGACCGGTGCGGTCAACCTGGCATGCTACGCACTCACGCAGCTTTCGTAGAGCGGGGATACATCGCTCATGATTGCAGCGAGCAGCGGCCCCGTCGAACTCGTGCACGTGCTACTCGCGAATGGCGCCAACGTCAACCACAACAGTGGGGTAGGCGTGGCCGTTCTGGGAGGCATCTGCAATGCGTCATGCTGTAGTGTAGCACCGCGTTGGGCTGTGCCGTGTACGGTGGCAACGACGACATTGTCGAGTTGCTTCTGGCCGTCGGGGCCAACGTCCATGTTCACGACGATTCTGTACTCTGGAGCTTGTACGCAACTTGGCTGACATGCGCGCGACGTAGCGCAAGGCGTCACCGATCATGTCTGCAGCGTGCCTTGGTCTCGTGGCCATTGCGACACAGCTCCTGGCAGCTGGCGCTCGCGTCTCGGACCTCAGCAAGGTATTCCATGTCGAGCCTTAGGCGAGTGCTATGCTTGAGGCGATTCCAGGATGGGGTCGGGCCTCTCTTCTGCGCAGCACTTGAAGGCCACGCCGATATGATCCGGCTTCTTGCCGCGCGCGGCGCAGACCTCGACGCAACGTCTCCCGTACGTGGCTTTTCATTCCCACACTGTACTGGACCACTAGCACCACGTTTCGCCGATGCATGCCGCCAGTGGTCGGGGTCACCTCGACGCGGTCATCACCTTGCTGCAGGCTGGCGCCAAACTCGACAACCCCAACTCGGTGGGATAACGTGTACGATGCAGACGCTTGATCCTTTCGGTAGTTTCCGTGTCTCAACGCTGCGGCGACCTGCGGGAGAACCGAAATTGTGGCGCTGCTGCTGCGTGAGGGCGCCGATGTAAATGCGAACAACCCGCGGGTATGACCCTTTTTTCGAGGAAGGTATCATCATGTGTGCATGGACAGTGGGGTGCGGCGGCGCTGTACGTGGCCGCTGCCACCGGTCATGCCGATGTTGTGCGCCAGCTGGTGCATGCGCGGGCCAAGCTTGACGAGCGGGCCGTCGTACGCATCGCCAACGTCTTTGGTTCATCACGCCCTTCGTTGTCATAGACCGGCAAGACGGCAATGATGATTGCGCAAGCCAAGAAGCACGCGCATGTCGTTGAAGTCCTGCAGGACGCACGCATGAAGGCACCGTTGCGCGGCACAGAGCGTCCACTCATCGACGTTTGTAGAAAGCGAAGCTCTTGCATGCCACCCGACACGGCGACGTCCTCGGCGTGCGAGCGCTGCTCGCCGACGGCCTCAGCGTCAACGAGACGGACGAGGTACTGCACGCGCTGCACTTAGTCGTTTTCAAATGGGAGTGACAGCACGGCAATACGTTGGTGCATCTCGCGCTCCTTGGTGGCCATGCCGAGCTTTTGGCCGAGCTCTTGAAAGACCCTAGCGTCGAGCTGGGCCATATCAACGAGGTATTCAATATACTCGTACTAGCATCCGACCTAGCTGCCGCGATTGTAGTTTGGCGAGTCGCCCATCGCGATTGCCACCAAGAAAAGTACCCCGTTGCTCGTCCAGCATTTGCACAAAGCGCAGTCAACGGTCACGGCCCAAGTACGTCATGATCGCCAGCCCAAATATATATGTATATATATGCGGCAAGGACTGATCCACGTGGCCCAGGTTGCAACCCGCCCGACGTTGCATCTCCAAGAGCTCGGCCGTGGGAGCTACGGTATCGTCTTCAAGGACACCCTCTTTGGTCAAGACGTGGCGGTCAAGTCCGTTTTGAACAAGACCTTCGGCGCGGCGAATTTGCGAGACGAGATCCGAGTCCTCAACGCGTACCACGTGGCGGCGTCTCTCTGTATCGTCAACGATCGTGTAGGAACCCGTCGCCGTACATTGTCCGACTGCTTGCCACCGCCGATGCCGCGTCAAACGCGCCACAGCTCATCTTTGAGTACATGGATGGCGGCAGCGTGACGCGGTATCTCGAAAAGGTCGCCAGTGACAAGCCCGTGTCGGTGACGTACGCCCCGATTGAGATTGCGTGGGTCGTTGCCAACGCCCTCAAGGACCTCCACGCCAACAACATTGTGCATCGCGACATCAAGACCGACAATATCCTCCTCTCGTCGACCCAGTACATCAAAGTGGGTGACGTTGGTATCGCCAAGGAAGAAACGACAACCATGACGACGGGCGCAGGCACGAGCAAGTGGCGAGCGCCCGAAGTGCTCACGTCCGGAAGCCGCTACGGGACGCCCGCCGACGTGTACTCGTTTGGCATCCTCCTCGAAACGTTGTTTCCAGAGGGTGCACGTGCCAGTTCGGACAACGCTTTGTGGTACAAGACACTTGCGATGCAATGCACGGTCGAAAACCCAGCGCTTCGTCCCACGGCGGCCGACATCGTCGAGAGCATGCGCCCCAAAGTGCAATCGTACTTTCTCTTTTTCGAAGGGACGAGTCCCACCCTACTTAGATACCCGCACCTTGTCGTATCGATGGCAGCGTTCGAGTCGGACTGCGCGGTACGACGTTTGTTTATCTTCTACAATCCACCAACCCGTGCTTGCGTAGAGGGGCCCTCCATTGATCGCGAGCGTGGCGATGCCGGCACCGATGACACCTGCGCCGACGAGCGCCCACCAACCGATTCGTATCCCAACGGTTCGGCGCTTGAAATCGTTGCGGTGCACCTCATAGGTTTCTCTGCTAGCGGAGTGCACGGTCCACAGCGCCGCTCAGCGTACATTTGTTGCACCTCGTTCGCCTGCTATAGCAGCTCTTGTACTAGCACGAAGAGGCGTTCCTCGCCGCTGTCGCAGCTGGCAACGTCGATGCCGTCGACTCCTTTCTACGAAGTGGTGTGCACCCCGACAGCACGGATACGGTACCGACGCTGTCGTTGCGACGACGATCTGTCAGGCGTTGTAGACGCAAGAAACCGCCTTGATCCGAGCCGTGTTTTTTGGGCACAGTGATGTGGTGGACCTGCTACTGGCGTTTCGCGCTGACGTCAACAGCGTCTCGGCCGTACGACGCGCAACTGCCGTCAGTGCGATGACTGTGCTTTAGGTCGGGTTAACGGCGCTGCACGAAGCGGCGCGGCAGCCATCGGGCGTGATGCTCCGGAAGCTGCTATGCGCTACCGGGATCGATGCCAACCCGCGGAACTTTGTATGGCGCTCCAGCTCAAGACGACGCAGGCGTGTCATGGATGGTATAGAACTTGGAAACGCCGTTGCACGTTGCAATCGGGTTTGGACTCGATGCCAATGTCGTTGCGCTTGTGAACGCTGGCGCCGACGTGGAAGCAGCCGACGAGGTACCGTCGACACAAATTGGTTCACGACGACAACACCACATGCTATTGCATGTAGAAAATGCACCGACCGCTCTACTATGCAGCTACGCGCGACTTGAAAGCGATTACGATGTACCTCGTCCAACACGGTGCTCGAACCTGGGAGCGCGACCAGGTCCGTGTGTGCCACCGCGACGTGACTGCAGCGCTTTGCTGTTTTGGCGTGTAGGACAACGAGACGGTGCTGCATGCGGTGCTGTCGCGCCGGCTCGGTCATATGGCAACCATTCTTGTCGACACGGGGGGGATCGCCAATCTCCACTCGGTACCTGCTACATGTAGCCCACTCGTTGGTATGTACGTATGACGTAGAACGGACAGAGTCCGCTGCACCGCGCTTGCGAATGCGGTGTCTCTGAAGTCATCCCGGTGCTACTGGCCCATGGCGCTGACGTCAACGCCGCGTTTGTGCGGCGCCACCTAACCCTCCTGCGCAACCTGATGGCGTTGTAGCGCAACGCGTCGCCACTTGCCATGTCGATTTACGCGGGGCACGCAGATGTTGTCGCGGCGCTCGTGGCGTCCCCCAAGATCGACTTCAACGAACGCCTCGAAGTAGCCTATCACTGTCTTCCGGTCGTGCGCCAATGTATATGGCATATAGCACGACTATACGCTGCTACATCTCGCGACAAGCATGGGTAACCTTGCCATTGCGCGCGTCATGCTGCAAGCTGGCATCGACTATGACCGGCGCGAAGCCAAGGTGCGAAGCGCTTCAGTGATTGTGATCGCATAGTTGATGGACGGGGCTTTTCGTAGATGGGCCTGCGTGCCATCGAGATGGCCGAGCGGCTTCACAACCACGCAATGGTCGATGTTCTCCAACCCGCCTACACACATGTATGGACGCGCAGTGTCTGCTGTCCACACGATATTTTTGTTATAGAGACTCGCTTTGCTCCAAGCGATGCGCGATCAAGACGTGTCGAGGTTTCAACGGCTGCTCCTGAAGCCATATAGCTGCAACATCGTCGATGAAGTACGTGGCCTCCATTGGAAACGAAGATGCATGTTGTTTTAGGTCGGGTGCTCGCTGGTGCACTTGGCGGTCGTCGCAAAGAACGAGACGATGCTCGACCAGCTCCTCGCAATGCCTCGCGTCCTCGTCAACACGAGCAATACCGTACGTGAATGCTCCTTCATCGTCTGCGAAATGCCATCGCTCGTCGTATAGGAGAACAAGACGCCGCTGGCGATCGCGATCCAGCGTGGGTACGCTTCCATGGCTGAGAAGCTCTTTGATCGCGTGCACCGGGCGGCCGTCGACGTAAGCGCCGGTCCTTGACACCAACCTCCGTCTCCACGGCGAGTCTGGTGTAGATATCGTCGACCGAGTACGAAGTGACGACGACCGAGCTGGGCCGCGGCGGCTATGGCGTCGTGCTCCTTGGCTCGTATCAAGGGCAAAAGGTCGCCGTCAAGAAGCTCCGAAACGCCAATCAACGCAAGTCGTTCAACGCCGAAGTCGACGCACTTGTCGCGTACGTTTTCGCAAACGAACCACTCGAACAATCATCGCATAGAGTGCCGTCCCCGTACCTCGTGCAGCTCGTGGCGATTGCAGACGTTGACACGGAGATGCCAGCGCTCCTCCTCGAGTACATGGATGGCGGCAGCCTTCGGACGTACCTGGACCAGAAGCGCTTCCAGCTACCCTACACGGTGCATGTGACCAACCTCCAAGTAGCGTGGGCCGTTGCCAACGCGTTGAAGGATCTCCACGCCAAGAACATTGCACACCGCGATATCAAGAGCGAGAACGTCCTCTTGAGCTCGACCCACTTTGTCAAACTCGGCGACCTTGGTTTGGCGCGGCGTGAGGCGACCGAGATGACGGAAGCGCCCGGCACCCGGTACTGGATGGCGCCCGAGGTTCTTCGCGCCAACGGGACGGCGTACGGCCTATCCGCCGACATGTACGCGTTCGGTGTGCTCCTGACCGAGGTGGACACGTTGCAGCTGCCGTACTACGAGTTAGTCAACCCCAACCCGGTCGCGATTGTCCGCGGCGTCATCGACGGCACTCTTCGACCGACGTTGACGGCAAAGTGCGAACCGTGGTTGCGCGACCTGGTCGAGTTATGTCTGTGTGGCGACCCGACGGCACGCCCGACGGCGGCCCAAGTTGTCGACGTGCTCCGTGGTGAAATGGCCATGACTGCAGCAAAGGCCATTGACGTACGTGTTGTCCTGCAACATGCCATGATCTGGAGCCTATCCACTTAGGCGGAGACTTACTTGCGCGCCGTGGCAACCGACAACAGCGCTGCGGTGACGGAGCTGCTGGACCAAGGTGTTGCGGTCAACGGGACGCTTCCGGTACGGGCAACACAACACGTTCAAGACGACAAGTCCAACTTGTAGGGTGGTGAGTCCCTTCTTTTGGCGGCCACGACGGCTGGGGCCTCCGAGACCGTGACGCTCCTCCTCCAACGCGGCGCCAACGTCAGCGACATGAGCGTGCAGGCCTTGTTTCACGCACGGCGGACCCTTACCGCGTGTCGTAGGGTGGCCGGACACCGCTGCACGAAGCAGCGACGCTCGGGCACGCGTTTGTTCAGCGCCGCCTCCTCGATGCCGGTGCCGATGTGGACGCACGCGATCATGTACGTTCCGAGTGGCGAGACATGTCTGTATGGGAGAAACACTGCAGGAGGGCAAGACGCCGCTGATGTGTGCATTCCACACGGGCAACGCGTTGTGCGTGTCGCAGCTCGTCGCGACGGGGGCCGACGTCGTCCTTGCGGCCACAGTAGGGTCGCCGTATTTGCAAATCGACGCATCGTGACATATAGGACGGCACGACGGCGCTCGACAAGGCACGTGAATTCGATGGCCTCAAGCGCTTTGTCCCGATGCTCGAGGTCGCTGCGTCTCGGGTGGGTGCTGCCACTACGCGATCTTGCTGGTCTCACAAGGATCTTGTGTCATAGCAAGAGAACGCGACGCAGCCCGAGATCTTTTGTATCCACTGCACGCACTGGCATGCTGTCCAAGATACGACCGAGGCCATGTGCACGACGTGCGGCAAGCCAGTGTCGAGAGTCCATCGCATGCTGGCGATCGTGTGGCGCTTGATACGGCTGCAGCACCGGGGGTACCCCGTCGACTGGTCACGAACGTGCCACGCGTGCCACAGCAAGGCCATGACGGTCTTTGATGCGCTCTGCCCCGAGTGCGCGCACTCCCAGCGCGACGTGGACAATCTCAAGGTGCTTCACGTGCGCTTCAAGAAGGCTCTCAAGCCGACGGCAGCCCGGCTCGTACGAAGTTCTCGACGCCTTGTGGTGCTCACGGTCTACTCGTGTAGGCACCGCTTGCGATTCCGCGTGGCGTCTTGCAATGGCTCGCAAAAATCGCGCCACCCCGGTTGCTGTCGCGCGACCCAGAGCTCGTGTTTGCACCGACGCGGCCCGTCCATGAGAAAACGCCGTCCGACGACATGGTGTTGGACGATGCACGCTCGACGCAGCGCGCACTGGTGTGTGGCCTTGGTACCCGACGTAGCAACCGTCGACTTTTCGAGAGTGGTCTCTCGACGCATGCCATCGCCGGCCAGATGGGCCAGGCGTCCCTCGCGCGTACGTTGTACGCGGCTACCGTGGCTCCTGTTGTGGAGGTACTGTCATATACAAAGGTACAAAAATTGGACATATCATTGTAGATGGCACTGTCTGATGCGCCCGAGCCCGGTGTCCCGTTCGAGTTGCAGGATCACGTCGTCGTGCACGCTTTTGTCCGCGATACGACCGTCCTGGACGCAATTGCAAGGTTGCTTGCCTCACTAGCACCATGCTCAAGCTTATGGATGGCTTGTAGATGCGCATCGCCCTTTATCCTCCCCGTCGTGGGGTTTTCGCGACCCGACTGCGTGTACGTCAAGGTGTCGGCGGCCAAGACCCTCCGAGGGATGTTGCAAACCGAGAAGGTGCGCGACGGCCTCCGCGCCGAGTGCCCAATGAAGCTGCAGTGCCTCTATGTGGTCGCCAATGCCCTACAGGATCTGCACGCCAATGGTATCGTCCACGGCCACATTTCGAGCCACAGCATCCTTGTGAGCATGACCGAGTTTATGCAAGTCGACGCTCCGAGCACGGACGATTTGTGTCTCCAGTGGACGGCCCCCGAGGTGCTTGCAGGCGACTCGCCGCCCTCTTTGGCCTCGGACATTTATGCGTTTGGTATTCTCATGACGGAGCTCGATACGTTCCAGCTGCCGTTTGACGACTACGATTTGGACGACGCAATTGCGCTCGTGACGGCCGTTGTCGACGGCGGGTTGCGCCCCGCGATGCGGGACGACTGCGAGACGTGGTACTGCAACCTTGCCGGTCTGTGCATGAGCGCGGACCCTCTGAGTCGCCCGACAGCAAGTGACCTCGTCGAGCTCTTCCAAGTGCTGCTCGACGACGCCCTTGATGCTGAAGCATCCAAGGCCAGCACGGAACACTAGAGAGCGACCCAACTGGAATGAGATCTGCTTCGTCAGTATTGCAAATTTGTTGCGAGAGAGTCCAACTTGTAGTCCCTAGCTCAAGGGATTCGATGTTGATGAAAATGGACCTAATCCTGTCACAGCGGCGTGCATCCTGATCACACATGTTCGAGTGGCCAATGTAACGTCACACCAATGGTACAAGTACTGGTGACAAGAATGATTCCGGTGCTCGATGCTCAAGAATGAAAACTCGAGCCCTGCTATTTCATAGCTATCCGATGCATCGTCGCAAGGGTCTACGTTACTAGTCCAATACCTGAGGCTGTGTCACGCCCAATCAAACCTGTGCAGCTGTGGCGGATGATCCGAAGACTATGGTATCAAACCTTAGTCTATTGTCGGTTTAAAAACACGGGTGGTGGACACATACTGGATTCGCGTTGCACTCGTTACATGCTGCCCGTGGCCAAGTACTGCAACACGCTCTTGCGTCGCATTTGCTCGGCTGCACCT